GTTTATGTTGAAGAGTCTCAAACAAGATGTTCCTTCCTCTGAACCTGTAAACAAACTGACCCCAAGCTTGGTGTGTTGAGTGGCTGTTTGGCGCGCATAAAACTAGTTTCCTGTACTGTACTTCAATAATGTTCAATAATTGATAAAATTACTAAAAAATTTAATATAAAACTTTTAAAATTATTGAATAGCACAACCTTCTTAATATTTACTAAAATGGTAAGGAATTTAAGCCCTAGAACCGATTACTGTATTGGCGGACTAATATGACCGCTCGTGAGCAAGCGAAAACATGTTGAGGGGCGGTCGTAAGGAATTCGTTAACCGAGGGATTGCTCGTTAACCAAAGTGAAAATCTTATGGAAGGTAATTCGTTAACCGAGGGATTACTGTACAGTATATATACCTGTACTCCCGACTTATGACCTACTTGACCTACGACCACCCGCACTTACGACCTACCTCAGTCGGTACGACCACCCCACATACAACCGCCTCAGTCAGTACTAAAAATTTTTCAAATGACACTCGTATTTTCTAGGCCAAAACGTTTCCGTCCTGTACGAGAGTGTCGCGCGGCTTGGGTCGACTCATGGCTACAGCACCCACACCGTAGAGCGCTTAATTGGTGTTTGGCTGTTGTTGTTTCTGCAAGTGAACGCTTGCCCTCCGATCGACTTGATTGTTGAGAAAAGCGTGGGTGATCATTTGGACTCAAAACTCATGAGATCGTAGGTATCTGGCTCCAGTCATTCACAAGCCAAAACTTAAATGAGGGGAGGTGCTTATTTCGAATATCAATAAAAAATGAACTATAGGATGTGCCAATAGTAAGGACAAATGTCCCAACGGGATGAAGAAACGGTATTAACCAAGGCTGTAATCGCTCATAGGAGCGATTTTGGTTTGTGCAGGACAATAAGACCCTTGTCGTTGACGCGATGAGTATAATTCGGTCAAAACCTGTTGAATACAATTCACATATAGCAACTGCTGGTACATCAGGACACACAGATTAAGTAATACGATCAATATACAGTACATAATTACACTTATTAAAGTTATTTAGAGTTCTCAGAGGATTCAACAGTTCACACTCGTTTTGGGGTCTCGGGTTAGACCAACGAGAACAAATATAATGTCCTGCAGGAAGATGTTGGCTGACGAGACTCAAGATTTTGCCTCTACAGTAGAAGGCGGTAGTCTGTCGCTCAGGCAGTCACACAGCTGCTACCAGCTCCATCTCGCTTAGTAAGCTATTCTGAGTTGTAAACAGTTTCTCCACTTAACATCTGGCCTACGCTCACAATTGTGCGTGGCGATAACAAAGGCATTCGACCAAATCAATCACAATTTCATCATGAACAAAGCCATCGACCTCGGGTTTCGGAGAAATCTTAAACTGTGGTTCACAGACTTCCTTAGTGACCGACGCCAAGCCATATGCTTCAGAGGGGCTGTTTCCACCTCTCAGACACCCACCTGTGGCGTCCCCCAAGGCTTTAAGATGGGACCGCTCTGCTTCCTTGTCCTCATCAATGATGCCCTGAGAGAAACTGCTGCTCGTTGGATAAATATCGACAACTCCACCATTGGGATCAATGTGAACAACTCGGCTCCTGACTACAAAGCCCTCCAGAATATATTGAACTTTCTCCAAACCTGGGCTGACAACAGCCATGCCAGGGCGTGTCCATATGCCTGTGGGCCTATATGCCGTCCCTCTGGGGACGACTGCTACTTCCACATTCTCTGCTATTCTAGTTACAGTGTATTGCCACGAAGTGGTACAGCAGAAGTCGTGATGGTGAAGAGACTGTGTACTGGCAGGGGAGACTTACGCAAGGTTGCTTCTCTGTTCACCACGAGGGCCAGCCAGCGGCGGAAGCTGAAAGCAAGAGGAAGCAAGCAGTGCCTGTACCTTAACACTAACATAATGCTGCCACACTAGAGCATTACACCACCCTGTGTACACGCACAAAGTAAACACCTGAAAAAAAAGTGCAAAGGAGGGCATGCAAGATTATTCTCTCCTCTTCCTACTCCACATATCAACAAGCGCTCAACACACTGACCCTCTCGGCTCTCTCTGACCGTCACCACGACCTCATCTGCAAATCTGGCGAGAAGCTTCTGCACCACCCTCGGCACCTGCCTATTATCACCCGAGATCCCTCGTCTGCGAATTGCTGTTCGACACCACAACTGCATCCAGTCCTTATGAGCACGTACTGATCACTATAAGAATAGCCCAGTCCCAACCATTGTAAATATTATCAACAACTCGTATTCAACCAGTGTATTCACTTCAAGTTAACCTTTTGCAGTCACTACTTTAAAATTACCTGTAGTATGACCTTCTCCCCACCTAATTATTATATATCAGTCAGTCAGTCAGTCAGAACACCGAGATAAGAGATCCGTGGCTCTGAGGTAAACAAGGAGATTTAGGGCAAGGTATAGTTAAGAATTGTGAAGTACAGAAGAAGAATGATAGCAGGTGGGCTTTCCACCTTGCGAAGGCTGGTTTGTGGCTTGACCAGTGACAGACGTCCCTCAGTCCTCCAGGAGCAAGGGAGGTTAGATAAGCTAAGCTAGTTTAAAGTGCTTTCCAAGGGAATGTGCTGTTTTAGGGTTTGTTGAAGGGTCCCTTCAGGTCTTTGTGTTGCTGAAGGAATGTTCCTCATCTCTTGTGATTGGGGGGTCCCGCCAGGTCCATGTGTAACTGGCAGGATAATCCCCATCTTTACGGTTATGCATGTGGTGTTGGTCTTTCGTGTTGGTTGTTTCTTGGAGGGTCCCTCCAGGTCCTTGTGTAACTGAAGGGATGTTCCTCATCTTTAGTGATTGAGAGGTCCCACCAGGTCCTTGTGTGAACTGGCAGGATAGTCCCCATCTTTTCGGTTATATAAGTGGCATTATTCTCTTACTTATAATGGTTCCGGGCTGATTGTGTGAATGTTGATGCTTCTTGGCCACCGGCTGTGTGATATATTGTTGTTTGCCTGTAATAGTTGCAGTGAAATAGGGTCTTGTGTTCGGTGTAGTTTGTCCCATCCCGCTTTTGCTTGTTTGTGTGTTCTTATGTTAATTGTGTATGTTATGTTCGATGTGTATGTCTATTATATATCATATTTGTATCATTTATTTTTCTTGCATATTATTTGTCAATCAAGAGACCCATTCCCCAATTATGTAACTGTTTATTTTCACCCTTCCAGCTGCCATTCTCTTTCAATAAACTGTTAATTAATATTTTTATTATTATTATTATTATTATTATTAGACCATGGCTAAGCACATAAACCTCTCCCCAGACCTTGTCTCACCTCTCTCCATTACTTGGAAAAAAACACGTCAGTACAATTGTCAAATCCTCCAGTTTTCGTCTCCTCCACCTCCGCCGTCTCAAGTCCCTCGGAGTTCCCTCGCCCGAGCTCCTTATTGCTTACTCAATGCTCATATTTCCCAAACTCACCTATGCTTCCCCTGCCTGGTCTTCCAAGCATGCAAGATTAGTCTATCCCCTCCTTCTCCACATATTAAGAAGCGCTCAACACACTGAGCCTCTCGGCTCTCTCTGATCATCACCATGACTTCATCTGCAAATTTGGTGAGAAGCTTCTGCATCATCCTCGACACCGGCTTTTGCTTCCACCCGAGATCCATAGTCCGCGAATCGTTGTTCGACATAACCACATCCAGCCCATACGAGCACCTAATGATCGCTATAAGAACAGTCCAATTCCAACCAATGTAAAAATTATCAAAACTCGTAGTCAACCAGTGTGTTCACTCCCAGCCACTCTTATTTTTTTGCACTGTTACTACAGTATATGGAATTGCCCCTCATTGTTATTATATATCATATTTGTAACACTTGTGTTACTTGTATATTATTTGTCAATCATGTCGGTCACACTAGAATAACCCGTTATAGTTATAGTACATCCTTCTTTCCTCACACAGCCAAACTGTGGAATGCTCTGTCTTCTTCTGTGTTTCCATACTCATACAATTTCTCTCTTCAAAAAGATAGTTTTTCGACATCTTCGTGGTGTAGATTTTTTTCTTTTCTATTCTTAATTTCTTTTTACTCTTGTTTTTTTTCTTTTTTTTCGCCCCCTTGGCCCTGCTGTGGGTCGATGACCTGTGCCCGGGTGGACTATTCCCCGTAAAAAAAGAAAAAAGTGATCCATTTCCCAATTATGTAACTGTATATTTTCAGCCTTTTGACTGACATGCTCTTTCAATAAACCGTTTATATATATATATATATATATATATATATATATATATATATATATATATATATATATATATATATATATATATATATATATATATATATATATATATATATATATATATATATATATATATATATATATATATATATATATATATATATATATATATATATATATATATATATATATATATCGAGGAGAGAGAGAGAGTTTATTGAATGATTGTGCGATATTTTTTTAACAAATCTAGCAACCCGAACTGCATCAAAGCAAAAGAAAGGGTGTTTAAAAATGTACAGCACAGCTTTGGGATATAATATTTGCTAATGAAACAATGGCCTGGAGGTCTTTTTGAACAGGGATATAATAATCACTCCCTGACACCCACAACCCAAGACCTGTACAATCAGAACCTCCCTGCACATACACTAAATGCGCTACTACGGTGGGTTACGTGCCGTACTGAATGTTCTCGGCTAAGGCGATGACCTTGAGACCCAATAAACGACATCACAGTTGCTTATTGTAATATAACAACTGTATCCTTAGAGAATGGCCTTGGAAAGAAGCACAAATTAATTTACAAAGGACGAAGGCGACATTATGTTCTACCTCCGTTATTAATATGGATGTTCTTTCAAGAAAAAGACTCACAATTTTGAAAATACTTTTGTAGAACTATATGAACACTGGATATCATTGACGTCATCAGTCTGCAGTTCTGTGATTGGTGTTGCTGGGAGCTGGCAACGCACATGTTGTACTGCAAACCTATGGCTGTAGTGAAGTCAATGAGGGACGGAGCATTCTGAATTTGAGAGTAACTGACCTACCTGACACACAACTACAGCACTGTGCGATTATGGCGTTGACATCACGAACAGTGTTTAACCTTCGTTCTCCTCTTGCTTTGTAAGTAATGTAATAATGTTAATCTTGTGAAGAAATTAGATAAGTGGCTGTTCTCTGGTCAGGGGTGAAACTTGTCAACGTAACGTAATAATAACATTTTCAGTAGAATCGTCATACAGTTTACAATTGATTTGACATTTATATAGACAATGTACTGTAAGTATACAGTTCAGCATTCGTATAGAGAACACAAGTGTTTAGTGTTCATAGAACGTGCAGGTAAACAGGAATAGCAAACAAAGCAATCAGATGCTCATTTTCACTAGGAATCTTTGCTTAGGCTTTGTAAATCATTAATAGTATACTTATAGGAATATATGTTTGTTTTTTAATATAACAAGCATTACATTGTGCTTGGACTATCCCAGGCTCACAGATCACTTCGGTAATGCAACAATCTGTTCAATTAATAATATAGAAAATTGCTGTGGTTTCATCTCCTGTCAGCTGGAAACTAAATAAATTTATTTAGTTGGAAATTGTGACGCATTTGTACATATACTACATTAGCTGTGTGGTTAACAATTTTAGTTTGTCAGTTTTGAGTGGTAGCTAGTTTATGTTAAATGTTGTAAGGGCAGGTTTTGCGCCTGGCAGTGAGGTTTAAGACCAAGGTCTGGGGGCTGCAGTTTCTGCGCATGAGTTTTGTTGCTAGCCGTCTCATTTATTGTTTTGTGAAATATATTGTACCATTTGGTAGAACCTCTAATTTAATGTAATTAGGGGCCCCCAATTAAAGTTCACGTTTCCTTAATAACATTTAAGCTTTTAGTGAATATCTTGGCCTCTCCTTGGCTGAATCGAGTTATTTTTTGGCGGATGTTTGTATACTTACACTGTCTGTGTACATGCTCAATCAACATGAATTTGTATGATGATTTTCTAGGATTTGTATCTGTCTACCTGTATAGAGTGGGAGTCAAATATATCAGTGTAATTGAATAATTAGCAAAGTACTTTACTGTACTATACTGTTCATAACACTATTTCACTGGATGAAACATACTGTATATCATCAAAATGTCTAAATTGAGAGTGGAGACTGTCTGTATACCTTTACGATTTTATAGGGGAGAAAGAACTGGTCTGGCCTATGCTTTTTGTATAATCATCATTCAAGTTCACATCGTTTCATCTGGTACAGAGACAATGCTGGTATAAAAAGAATGGCAAACAGTAAGTTGATAAAACCAAGGATATTCCAATACGCGGGATTTTCCATCGCGCAACTCAGTTGCGCAGCCTGGGAGATAACCGGGATAGCTTTGGGTGGCTAGAGTTACCTCCTCCAAGGTATAAAGATACCTTGACCTCCTCTACACACTTCCGCTCCCCTTCCGTTTCAGTGTTTATCAGCATTACCACTACTGATTTGTGGGTTCAGAACACTCAAATTTATGTGATGACTGAAAGATGATGGAATGTGATATTTTTCACATTATTTGTTAGTTTTTCACAATTACGTTCGATATAAATTATTCAAGAATACATATCTAGTGGACTGGTATATTTTAATGATAGTTGATTTGCATTGATGGGGTGTTTGGTACTGATCGTGTGTGAGTGGACTGCATTTTGTCAAATTTGCCAATACTGTAAGTGTTTTATGAATAATGTGGATGAGGATAGATATTGTTGTACATTTTCATAAAAAATATAGTGATCAATTCTTTTTTCTGTTTTATTTCACAAAGATATCGATCAATGTTTGTGTTTTGTATTGTTGACCAGGTAGTAAGTAGTAGGCGGCTTCCAAACAGGGAGGTACTACCGCCTGGGAAGATATTGGAAGCATAATGTATTGTAGGGTTGTGAGATATTGGTTCACACTCGGGATGGGATGGAGAAAGGAAACTCACAATGTGCTCACTGTATACATATTGTATTGGATGTACAATGCAGCTTGTTGCTGGGTAGGTAGCATGGTAATAAGCGTTGAGTAGAGAGCTGGGTGGTGAGGGTGCCCAGAGGAGGGACACGCGGCTTGAGGGACGCTAGGTCGCTGGCGGGAGCGGCGGAGGAGGATGTGTTGCTTGCTGGTGGCACTGGGTAGAAAGAGAGCGGTCACAGCGGTGTCAGGCCTTATAAGGCGGGGGTAGGCGTGGGTAGATAGTTGACCCCCGCTCCGTGGGCGGCGCTGTTGGCGTAGGCTGGGGAATTCGAGAAGGTTCGGTGCTTGTAGGGGAGGAATCCACTACAGTTTTGTCTAATGGTGGACCCTGCTGCCATATGGCATCACGAAAATTGTGACCAAGTCCCGGGTTGCTGATCTGACTTTCTGCCCCATTTACACTCAATTGCAGGGTCTCAATTGTTTCTCTTACTATTACATAAGAACATAAGAAAATAAGGAGTCTGTAATAGGCCAGACCTGTGCATGGCAGCTCCTGTCGAGAGTTACTACCAATGACAACACTACACTACTCTACACTACACTATTATTATTATTATTATTATTATTATTATTATTATTATTATTACATTATCTCCCCGCAGGCCCCGATGTGAGTCAGTGACCTGTTCCTGGGTGGGCTAATTCCCGTAAAAAAAAAAGATCTCACTTTTGATCTTTTTTTTTTAAATTTTTGTATTTATGGTTTTATTATTATTATTATTATTATTATTATTACAGTTATTATTACTATTATCATTATTATTTATTATTTTTTATTATAAATTTTATTGACTCTGAATTATTATTATTACAGTTATTATTACTATTATCACCAGCAAGGAATCGAACCCTCGACCTACTGGGTGGGACCAGGGAACGTTACCGACCATGCCACTAGGACACTAAAAGCAGTTCTAGACTATGTTATATTTCACACAAAGCCTGTTCACCGAGCTGATGGCGCCATGTCAGTAGCATTTTACCGAATCCAGCTGGTATGAAACACGAGGTACCATATATACTTCATTTTTAGTCCATATAACACGCTGTATGGGCAGTTCCCAGTGGGAGGTTCACGGCGCCATCAGCTCAATGAACAGGCTTTGTGTGAAATATAACATGGTCTAGAACTGCTTTTAGTGTCCTTGTGGCATGGTCGGTAACGTTCCCTGGTCCCACACAGTAGGTAGAGGGTTCGAGTCCTGGCTGGTGAGGTTGTTGATTATATGTTCAAAGTCCGCGTGTTATATGGACTAAAAATGAAGTATATTATATATATATATATATATATATATATATATATATATATATATATATATATATATAAAATCAAGGACCTCACTTTAAAAATCATGATCAACTGGGCGGATCCAAACGACGTATTCGTAGCTTAGCAGCTTAGCCAATCAGCACGTGAATGAGTCGCTGACTAGTGATTTTCATTTTTATTCATTATCAGTGGCCCCAACCCAATTAAACAAAACAAATCTACACTATATTTTATGACAATGCAGCGTTTCATACCATAAGAAAAATTAAACACAAGATCAGATCTTTTCTTGATTACTACAAATCCTAAATTTATGGGAATTGTTTGTGCAGTACATCAGCCAGCAAGAGGTGTGTAGCTACAATTTGAGCTCTTTTGCAGATGTTTCATGCAGTAAACATCTGTTGAAATTATAAAATCTTTAAAATTAACAATCACATTTTTTGATTATTTTAATGTTTAGAACAACCAGAACGTGAAATGTTACGAGAAATTGCGAAATCTACCTCTCGTTAAATGTCTGAACGAAAAAGGATGGTAATATTTTATTTTATTTATTTTTTTATGGGATTAGCCCACCAGGTTACAGGTCAATGACCCACACCAGGGCCTGAGGGCGAAAATATTACAATAAAAATAATAATAATGTACAGAGTAAAATCAATAAAACTTAATAAAAATTTAAAAAATATTAAATGAAAATATAATAAAATACATCTGTATAACGTAAGGATAATAATAATAATGTACAGAGTAATAATAATAAAACTTAGTAAAAAATATTAAGTGAAAATATAACTCAATACTTACTGTATAATATGAGGATAATGATAATAATAATAATGCTAATAATAATAATAATAATAAAGGATCATAAATAAATACAAAAAAGATCAATAGTGAGAAATGATTTGTCAAAGTAAGAGAAACAATTGAGACCCTTCAATTGTCTGTAAATGAGGTAGAAAGTCAGATCAGCAACCTGAGACTTGGTCACAATTTTTATGATGTCATTTGTGTGCGCGTGTGTGTGTTCACGTCTAAACCCCTCGTTACAGAGTACACAATTATGGAATTTCATGACAGTCGTTGCAGCCCATATTCACACCCCTGTGATTATTTTTTGGGGGGATCCTTCTTAAATATGAAGTTTTATACATGGGTCGTATGCATTACAGACCCCGGGGAGAGAATCCTGCAACTATGCAACTAGTTTTTTGTCAATGGCCTATGTTGTATGGTGATTAAGAAGTTGGTGATGACTGGAAGCGGCCCAGACACATATGTTAGTCACACTGAACAAGTAATCCATGCCTGACTGATTTCCAAGAAATACTGATTAGATAATGTATCATCATTTCATGGTTCACCTTATATATCACTATATTGTTATATCACAATATCATTGTATATTTACTATATCATGCTATATCCATATCATTGTACAGTATATCACTATATCCTAGTATATCACCATGGCATTATATAGCCTAGTACAGGGGTATATATCTATATTATTTTACTCTATATTATGAAATTGTATATTATTGAATGCTTTTATATTACCAAATCATTGTTTATTCTATGAAGTCGAACCTTGTTAATGAAAGTTCAACCTTCAGGTGTGTTCGTGTCATGAGCACAGGTGATGCTGGCTCAGGTGTTGGGCACGGTGGTGGCACTGGTGGCACCATTAGGGACGCCGGTGGTGCCTTTGGCAAGAGGGAGGTGGCCTTGGAGAATCAGTACTTCCGTAGATTGGTGAGACTGGGAAAGATTTGTTCAGACATTTGATAAACTAATAAGTAGCTAACTTTATTATTACAATTTTACTAGATAAATGTCTATCTGTCATTTTCCAAGTCTTTAAACTTCTGTAATTTTATCCTCTGCCATTAAGATTCCAGGACGTTATGGCGGTGAAGTTGAAATAGTAATAATGAATAACGGTTTTATGCCCCGAATATCCTAAGGTTAACCTCTGCCTCAATAAATTAATATTTGCATTAATTTTTATCTGAGGTATAATTGTGGACATGTCACAAATATTAACAGAAATGGATCTTATTAAAAACTTGGACTGTGTTAAATTTTATTGAAAAATTTGTCACTAGTACAGTTTTTTTATGCGGAAATAAATATTTAACGTTAGGTCTGTTTTTTACCTAACCTAACCTAACCTGACAAACAAGCCGGTTCTCATCGCCAAATATTGGATGGGTACTTTTTTTTTTTATGGGGATTAGCCCACCCGGGCACAGGTCACTTACCCACATTAGGGCCTGGGGGCGAAATAATAATAATAATAATAATAATAATAATAATAATAATAATAATAATAATAATAATAATAATAATAATAATAATAATAATAATAATTAATAATTTTTTTAACAAAAATAAATAAAAATTATAATAAAAAATAAAAATAAAAATAAAATAATAATAATAATAACAATAATAACTATATATACAAAAATGAAAGCAAAAATAATCAAGAGTGAGGAACAATATACAGTTGTGATATAAACGTGAGAGAAACAATTGAAACCCTGCAATTTTGTGTAAAAGAGGCAAAAAGTTAGCTCAGCAACCTGTGCGAGTTTATGTGGCGCCAACGTCGCAAAGGGCAAAATTAGCTTATGTTAAGCATGATTGGCCAGCACTTCTGTTTCATAAACCTGTAAGTCACAAATAAAATCTTTCCTCAAAACATGAGTTTCTCATTTAAAATCAGCACAAAAAACTGTATCTTTAATGCATGTTCAAAAAATTTAGAGCACAGTCCAAATGTTTAATGAGACCCAGTGAAGCCAGGTGTAACTGAGGTGGACGGAAATAAAGTCCACAGGAAAAAAAGTCACATGACTTGTACACATTGACAATACAATATATATATATATATATATATGATGGCATTACACGTAGGTTAGGTTAAGTTAGGTTAGGTTAGCTTAGGTTAGGTTAGGTTAGGTTAAGTTTGGTTAGGTTAGGTTAGGTTTTTCCGTGCCCTTTTATCTGTGACTTTTTTCCTGGATTAGTAACTGCATATAAAGCCAGGTTGTATATACAGTAGATGTCAAAATATAATTGGAGGATAGACGTTAAATTTAAAGATCATAAGAGGTTAAAATGTTTCCCAAATTACAGTACAGTCATTGAGAAGTCATATCAGGTTTTCAAAGTAACTCGATACTCTTTTTTGTTACCATTTTGTGTACATAAGAACATAAGAATGGAGGAAACTGCAGCGGGAATATTGGCCCATACTAGGCACTCTCATTTACACCCAACCCATATCACTTATATATCCATGAAGCTATCCAGCATATTCGAGTTAATGATGATGTCTGGTAACTTGTTCCATTCATCCACTACTCTGTTTCCAAACCAATGTTTACCTATTTCGCGCCTAAATCTAAATTTATCTAATTTAAAACCATTGTTACGAGTTCGCTCCTGGTTGGATAGTTTGAGTACCTTTGTTATATACACCTCGATCATATCCCCCCTCACTCTACGTCTCTCGAGGGAGTGCAGATTAAGATGCTTTAACCTGTCTCTGTACTCAAAGTTCCTAATGCCCCGGATTAGTCTTGTCATTCTCCTCTGAATTCTTTCTAGGGATTCTATATCCATTCTGTTGTAAGGTGACCACAACTGAACTGCGTAATCCAAGTGAGGTCTCATAAGCCCAAGATATAGTTTTTGGATGACCTCGCTAGTCTTGTAACTAATACTCCTTTGTATGAAACCAAGTACTTTGTTAGCCTTATTTCGAGCAAATACACGTTGTTTACTCGGTTTAAGATCCCTACTTATCATTACTCCTAAATCTTTCTCACAGTGAGATTTCTCTATAACATCGTTATTCATCTGGTATCTGGTTTCTCTGTTTACATCTCCTAGACTAAGTACTTTAAATTTGTCGGCATTAAATTTCATCTGCCATTTTTCAGACGATTCGAAAAAAATTTTCTCGAGTTTTGAAAGAGTGTAAGGAACAGATTAGCGGACCCATCGTAAATTTATTTACAACAATCATTAGACACGGGAGTTGTGCCAGACTTGTGAAAACAGGCAAATGTAGTACCCATATTAAAAAAGGGAGACAGAGCATCAGTGTCAAATTACTCAGACATTTTTGTATAGTAAAAAGTATTTACTATTGATTTCAGAATATCTCCTAATATCAAGTGCACATTGCTTCAAAATGGCCTCAAAAGGCTCATGATATTTGTCAGATTTAAAAAAAAGAGTGGGGGGGCTTACAGCTTCCCCTAGAAAACCTCCGAGCAGGGTGGGCTCGCTGCTCTCGCCATGTTCCCTCCACCCACAACTTCTTGGACCCCCTCCCTTTTGACATTCCTGGATTCGCCCCTGCAGTCCATATACTGTACAAACAATACCTTACTAGTCGGGAATCGAACCCTGGATCTCAGAGTATGAACAGGCTTTTGTTTTATTTCACACAAAGTCTGCATTCGTCTTATTTTTAAGCTTTTGTTGTCCTTGTGGCGCGGTGATAGTGGTCCCTGTTCATATGCAGAGGTCCAGTGTTCGATTACCGCCTGGTGAGGTATTGTTTATATATGGAAGTTCGAGTATATATATATATATATATATATATATATATATATATATATATATATATATATATATATATATATATATATATATATATATATCACAATGTTTGTGATTGTAAAAAAAGACCCCTGCTGTCCTTATTAGGACAATAGGACATGTCCCTGAATTCCATTTCCTTCTAATTTAAGTTTCAGCCTTTGTCAAATGACTTGACAAGGTCAAAATAAATATACTGTATGTCGTAAGATTATATTAAGAGTTGCCGTTAGTGCTTAATGATCCTGGCAGTTGATATAATCCAATAAAAAACAGCAGTAACTACAGTTTTTCCATTCTTAGTTACGAGAGAATGCTACTGAAAACTCACTATACTATACTTTTTATTGTTTTTCTTGTAGCAACACCAACAGCTGGAGAAGATGAGGGCAGGGATAGAAGAAGAAGTCGTGTTCCACAAAGAACAAGTTGAGGCTCACGAGGAGGCCATAAAGCGACACCACAGAATACTAGACGAGCTCAACATGAACATCAGGAATATCGTGGCTCGTGATAAAATGACTAAACATGACTCGTGAAGTCATAAATCATGCGCCATAATCTTTATTCCAGATTTTTGAGAACTATTGATATATAATTTGGATTGTCAGTTTATTCTACTTTGTTATCTTTAAACCGAAACAACATTCTGTGAATTGTGTTAACTGTTCGGTCTTTCATAAACTGGATTGGAATTTTATTCTTTATTAAATTTTCAAAGCTTCTGTTAACATTCCTTGGCTTATGTGAACTGCTCAGATATAGATTAGATTGGAATGTTACTGGATTGTGTTTTTCAAGCTTAATATTCCACGTCTGATGCTTATTATGGTGTAAAGGGCATAGAATTTTTTTTAATGAGGTAGTATTATTGTAAAAGTAGTTGTTAATGGATATAAGGTAACCCTAGATAGGAAATGTGGTGTCAAAAATCCCCACGCCAAACTTACAGTACAGTATATGAACAGAAGTGTAAAAGGGGTAAAAAAAAAAAAATCATTTTCAGTCAGAAGCCTAGCCAAGACCTTTAAATGTTTCTATATGCCTTTAATTTTCATTAAATGTAACTTCCTGATGTTTTGGGTTTTTTTCCTCTGGGGTCTGTGGGACTCCCCATTACCTTAGGTTTAGAAAATTTATACTATTACCTATCTAGGGTGACATTGGTATTATAGGATGTGAAATGTATCATATGACTTCTGTGAAAGTAGTGATTAAATATGCTTTTAGACATTTCCTTATGTATTTTTTTCTAACTCTGATATCCTTTGGAAATATTCAGCAGTATCTAAGGAATTTTGTCAATGTTGCATAATATGGCCATTGATGTTTTATCACTTCATTGGATATACGCACTGTATAATCGGTTCCCTTTCAAAGAAAAACACTAATGTTCCTAGAATTACAGCTATTGCAAATCTCTCAGAACCTAAAGCATTAATGTGCACGAAGGTCGTATTTGCTGACGACGCTAAGTTATTCCGGGAAATTAAGACCAAACGGACTGTGAAGCGTTACAGGAAGATCCTTGCCCGAGGGAATAAAATACCCTCCGCAATTGGCTGATTACAAAATATTAGCTGGTGTGACTGGCTGCCGTAACACACGTCAATATCATTCACTATTATATTATTATTGTTATTGTCAATTACAAAGCTGTGAGACTTAAAATAATAGCATTTACATTTGAACTTTCTAATAATATCCGGCCTTAATACTTGGCTACATGTGTTCTGTAAAGGATGCCTGATTTTATACCAAATCCAAACTATGGAATTTTTATAACCTGTTGTAATATGCACTCACTGCCTGTTCCAACTTGTCTCAATCCGCTCAACGTCGTCCCACTTAACGTTGTTTTCGAACTACGTCGCTGAACTTAGGAGACCAAAAATTCACTTAAAGTCCTGGTGATCTGATACTAAGTCGTTTTGCGTCATCACGGACTACTTTCTACGGTGCATTACCCGCTCTTGTCTGGCCACGCTACGCTCTCTCGGCTCTGTGCGCTGCCCTCACTCTGCCCTCACTCGCGGAACGTCACAGCGTCCCCAAGAGACACCAAGCCAGTCTCTGTTACGACTTCACATCATTCGTGCATGCTTAAGTGTTTTTGCTCTAAAACTGTACTCTAATCATTCGAAATGGCTTGCAAGCACCTATCAAGTGCTACTGATGCTAGTGTAGTGAAGAGGCAACGTAAAACCATTACCCTTGCTATGAAAATGGATGTATTAACCCAATTTGAGAAAGGGGAACGTGCTGTGGACATAGCGGCTGTGCTTGGTCTAACTCCCACAACAGTGGTACTATCCGGACCAACGCTGACAAGATTAAGGTTAGTGTTGGAAGTGGTTCTTCACTGAGTGCTACTACGAGTCGTACTAGAAGCACTGTGATAGAGAAGGTGGAAAAGATGCTGGCAATGTGGATGGAGGACCAGAATCAATGCAATGCCCTTGTGAGCCTTATGGTTATCCAGCATAAGGCCAGATCCCTGTTTGACGACTTAAAGGCAGAAGAGGGAGAAGGAACGTAGGAAGAGACCTTTACGGCCAGCCGAGGATGGTTTCAACGATTTAAGCATCGATATAACTTCAACAATATTAAGATGACTGGTGAAGCTGCTAGCTCAGATACGGTTGCTGCCAAGACATTCCCGCCAGAATTCAAATGGATTATCCAGCAAGGAGGCTACTCACCGAAGCAAATCTTCAATGTGGATGAGACTGGTCTCTTTTGGAAGAGGATGCCTGAAAGGACATATATCTCCAAGGAGAAAGGAGCGTCATGTTTTAAAGCAGCAAAAGACCGCTTGACGCTGCTGCTTGGCGCCAATGCTGCCAACCCACGGGGCCTGAAAGGTTACTCTAAGGATCACCTTCCTGTCATTTACAAGGCAAACAAAAGGCATGGATAACTGGCGCCATATTTAGCCAGTGGTTAAACGTGTACGCTGTCCCTGCACTGAAGGAATACTGTGCCAAGGAGAACCTTAGCCTCAAAATTCTTCTGATCCTTGACAATGCTTCAGCTCATCCTCCCAATCTCGACGACTTGCATGACAGTGTAAAAGTTGTATTCCTGCCTCCCAACACGACAGCACTGATGCAGCCTATGGACCAAGGCGTCATCGCCGCATTCAAGGTGTATTATTTATGCCGTACCATGGCCCAGTTGCTCAAGGCTACAGACGGAGAAATTAAACCAACGATCCGAGAATATTGGCGCAGCTTCAACATTCTTCATGCAATTAACAACATTGGCAAGGCACGGGAAGAGATTTCAGAAAGTTGCCTGAATGGTGTGTGGCGTAAACTGTGGCATGAGTGCGTCAACAGTTTTACGGGATTAACGGACTTAATCCCAGCTATGAATAGGGATATCCTCAGCTTGGCTAGACAGGCAGGCTTTGATCAGCTGGAATCAGAGGATATTGAGGACGTCCTGGCATCCCATACAGAAGAGCTCACCAACGAAGATCTGCAACAATTAACAGAACACAGTCCTGTTGAAGACGGCAACTACGACGAAGAAGAGCCTCAACGAACTCTAATTTCAAAGAGGTTGAAAGATTCGTTGAACATGTTCCAGCAAGCAATGCAAATGCTTCTAGATGACGACCCAAATAGAGAACATAGCTCAAAGGTTCAACGCAGAATTGAGGACAGTCTTGGTTCCTAAACCGAGATCTATAAGGAGAAGAAGATGAGTAGCACCAAGCAGTCAACACTGAATTCATTTTCTCGTCACGAGACAGCAGGAGCTTCTTCACAACAGCCGGCAGCCGAGGAGGAGCAAACAACAACGGAGGAGGAGCAAACAACAATGGAAGAGGAGCAACCAGCGGCGGAGGAACCCCAGTCAGAGCAGGAGGAGGAGGAGGCAGCTTCAGAGTCTCAGTGACTCACCACCGTCTTCCTCCGCTCCCTGCATCCTCCTCCATCTTTTCTTTTTTCTTTTATCCTCTTCCCCACTGATCGGCTCGTTAGCCGCTTGGGTGATCGGTCACGTCTCTGATTACTTTTCCTTTTCAAAAGATCGGCTCGTTTGCCACTTGGCCGATCGGTCACGTCTCTGTTACGCACTGTTGGCAAGAACTGGGCATGCACCGGCTCCTGAATGTACCTGAACCCGCTCCAGTGTTGGTCAAGTCTTGTCTTGAAAGAGATCACACTCGGTGCCGTCACAACACTTTCTGGCAGATTGTTCCAAGAGTTCACAGCCCTCACTCCGAAAAAGTTTGCCCTCACAGTTTTCTGGACTTGCGGCTTCTTCAATCTTGAGCTGTGACCCCTTGTGGGGCGAGCATCCGCCAGCTCCAAGTAAGGACACTCGACTGAGTAGTGCCCCTTGAGATGCTTATACACCTCAATTAGGTCACCCCTTGCCTGTCTGTAGTATAAGCTAGGCAAGTTCAGGCGCTCCAATCTCTCAGGGTAGCTGAGGTGCCGAAGTGCAGGCACCAGTCTGGTGGCCCTCCTTTGAACGTTTTCAACCAACTGACAGTCCCTAGCATATCTCGGGGAACAGACGGGGTGATAGTACTCCAGATGGGGAAGCACTTCACACTTGAAGATCGTTACGAGGGACGGTCCGTCTATATATCTGACCGACCTTCTTATAAGACCCAATAATTTATTTGCCTGATTTACCTACTTCTCGCAATGATCCGAGAATTTCAGCTCATTGTCAACATACACACCTAGGTCCTTCTCACATTCAGTCTCAAATAGTGCAGTTTCTTCATCCCGTTGGGACATATGATATGCTTCCTTACCGTGGGTACGCCCCAGGTGCATCCTCTTACACTTCGTGACATTGAATCTCAGCAGCCATTTCTTCGACCATTCTTGGAGCCTACATAGGTTCTTCTGCAGCTCTTCACAGTCCGCTTGGTTCTTGATTTCCCGAAATTACTTGGCGTCATCGACAAACATTTGTATTGAGGAGTGTCCAACGTCAGGCATGTCATTTATGAAACAAACAAACAACAGCGGGCCCAATACACTGCCCTATGGTACCCCGCTTGCGACAGGTACGGATGATGATGATTTCGTGCCATTCATCACCATACACTGCTTGCGGTCATGTATAAAGTTTTCTATCCACGTAGGACATTTCCCCGAATTCCGTACCCTTCCAGTTTGATTTTCAGCCTTTCGTGGGGTACACTGTCGAAAGCCTTGGCAAAATCTAGGTAAATATTGTCAATATTCCCACCCCGTTCCAGAATATGGGTCCAAATATTCATTACCTTGAGCAATTGTGTTAAGCAGGAGCGTCCCTGCATAAAACCGTGTTGGCAATCCTTTACAAGGTTGTTTCGTAGTAGATGTTCCATCTCGGCATCTCTGATAATACAGTACTCTCAAGTACTTTACATATTTTGGTTGTTACGAGTTGGGGATTTAGAATATAGTTAAAAGTCTACCCAGATTCCAACAGGCAACAACAAAAAAACAAAACAAAGACAATCGGACTATAAAAGGGTAGACAAAAGATGCGTGGTTTTGTTGTGTATAATAAAGTACCATAAATTCCTTAACAAAATATTCAGCTTTCTATAATTTACCCTTAACCATACTTAACCTAAACATTAACAGTATATACATATTTATACAACATACAATAATTTGAAGCAAGGGGGAGGTGGGGGAGGCAATATAAGATTACAAATACTTAAGTGCGGAGCTGAGATGGCTGACGAGCAAGGCTGAGTATTGTAAAAGACGGTAGGTAGTCACTGTGCAGTAGGTTTCCAGGATAGGTGATCCTGTGGTCACTTCCCAGAGTGAACTGCTCTCTCCTCGAACTGGAGCTGACAAAGAAGGCTTTGAGGAGGTGACGCAACAACCGGGATATGGAGAAGGGAAACCCGGGAGTGGTAACTAAGACGAGTCATACTCGTGTTTCGTCCCTAGATGGCGTTGCTCGTGGTGCTGGGTAGGTAGATCAAGACAATAGATGGCGTGGTTCGTAGTGCTGGGTAGGTAGATCATGACAATTGGTGGCGGGGTTCGTAACATGGTGGTCAGACTCACCGGTCTATAGTTGTTCGTGAAGTGACGATCGCCCTTCTTGAAGATAGGACACACGTAAGCCACTTTCCATTCACTGGGAACCTTTTGTTCATCCAGACATTTACAAAACAGGTTCTTCAGGGGCTCGGCAAGCTCGTTGCACAACTCTCTTAGCACTCTAGGATGCACCATGTCAGGGCCGGGACTGTTATGG